TGTATTATTTTAATTATTAACGGCCGCCATTTTGAAACGTCTTAATCAAACTCGACCATTGCAAACCTGGGCAGAGATAATGTATTCAAGCACTTGTATGCCAAATTTCGGCGACCCAGCATCCTTTTACAGCCGCCATCTTGATGACGTCATTACGGACGACCGAGGTCCTTAAAAATTGGGGTCTGGGCAGTTTTACGTTCAGGGACTTCTATACTATGCTACCACCTCAAGTTGCATGTTCCCCGCCAACTTACTTAAAACTGGAATTTCCTGCTGAAGATGACCTGCTAGTGCGGCTTGTGTACTATTTCTTTTTGTAACCCTATATTTTTGCTATCCATTTTTTCTTACAATACAAATTTAAATATTCAATACAAATTTGTAAAATATATATATAAAATAGGCAAGCAGGATTTTTGTCGGCAGAACTTTTCAGTGGTTTCTCATCCGATTTTTTTGGTTTAAGGCTCGTTGGAAAGATCTCATTCAGTAGATGTCATAAGGTCTTGCATGTTGAAAAAATCGCCTGGGCTCCGTCCCAGTGGCTTTTAAAGTTTCCAAATTATCATTATTTGTTTACATTAGATTAAGCTCAGCTGGACAATTTAACTGCTGTTAATATTTTAAAAATTACAATTGAAGGAAACGCGCCTGTGTACACACGTTTACTGACTTAGTTGAAATGAAACATTTACTCATTTGAATGTGGGCTTGAGTTCGTATGATAATGGAAAAAGGCAAGAAACCGAGGCAGTTTGATATATTTCACCGCAATATTTTTTTTTATATTCTAAGTAAATAAAATTGTGACGGACAGATAATGCAGGAAGTCGGGTAGTACTTGGACAATTTTAATGCTATATAAAAAAAGACTGCATTTTGTAAACATATTGGTAACAATGGTGGTACCATGTAAGCTACAGTATCAATGATGAAGATAAACATGGACAACAATATGGGGCTATGGGTGAGTCAGGAAACATTTCTAGAAAACACTAAATCAAGGCTAGCTTTCGAAAAATTATACAACATTTACAAGAAATGTTTGTTATATCGAACTGTTATGAACAGTGTAAGTATTTCGATTGGTTACATAAGCTTTTAGTTGAATCTCATAAAAAATTATGACTGTTATAGTTTTAAAATAATAACTCCTGTAATACAGGTACTTGAAAATTGCTTGATTTCGAGCAACAGGTACTCTAGTTTTAATAAAATACGTTATTATCTTGCCTTGGATTTTTATTTTCTTAAAAAAAAGATCACTACTACTAATGCTTGGACTATTGCTATGAATTCTGATTCTTTTCCTTCTGATATTCCCCTTCTTCTTATAGTAGTGTGTAGAACTATTTACACTTCTTTCACTGGACTACTTTTTATAACTGCACATGGCATCCACGCCAAGCAGAACGCTAGACTTAATCGAAGTTGTAGGAACAACTGGGTTCATTTTGATGGTTGTTGGAGATGTTGCAAAGGATGTCTCAGTACAGTAAGAACAATCTGTCTGGGCGGTTCCTTCACTACTAGCCATCCCCCGTCCACCTCTTCTAGCCATAAAGAGCTGAACCACCCTCGAGCTTTGTAGGCCAGATGTTTTTTGAAATTACCAATAAACACTCCCTGCTACTCCACGCGCCAAGACTAATAGCTTTGACTAACTTTGAGGAGTAGTTGGATAAGAGGCGGTCGTTAACGTTTCTTCAGGTTCAATATAATTGTTCATCTGACTTGATAAGGATAATGCATCCTTGATTTCAAAACTCAGAAAATGTTGTTCATTTTTTGACCATGTTTTTTTTCCATTGGATACAACACTTGCAACGAATACTCTCAAAACTCAATCTACTCCCCATACCTGCTCCAAAATCAAAAACCACAGGAACTGCGCAGCCGCACCAAACACCGCCGTCAGAACAGGAACCATGATGGGAGGCATTGCTGGTTTAAGCCTCTAAATGTTTTATGAAGAAATTATTATAGTTGATGATAATTGTAAGATCTCTTTCTTAAAAGTGTGTTGTATCTATGGATACAAAATTTTTGTTGTATTTTATTTTGATCGATCAACTAAGCAACTAATTGTTGTTAATTTTGTTATAGTTGTTATGTTGTTAAGTGTTTTTATATCTGTGTTGTTAATTGGAGATGATAACTCTTGTATAATTGAAATTAGTGGATTTTAAGATGTTTCCTTGAATTCATCTGTAATACAAAATTATGGAATACAAAAATACCTTTTTTTAAATACACTCTAGTTTATGGCTCATATTGATTTTTTTAAGGAGGGACTATTCATTAATTATTATTTAACTATGATAACTAAACTGCAGTACCCATTTATTTTCTCTCTTATCTCTTACTTTCAAGATCTGTTTATTTTCCCAGGAAAAGAATAAAGATGAACAGGTTAATCTTAAGTCACAGCTAACGAAAGCTTGCCCCGCCAGAACTGAAGTATTCTGCCACTTTGTACAACCATACAACCACACTATATACATTTTGGTCCCACAGGTGCGTTACATGAGAGTGTACTTTGACACTCGCCGTTTACGTCAATAGCCTATTGCTCAAACATTGTTATATTATATATGGAAATGAAGCGGAATTTAAGGCTCTACATGTTTGTTGCAGGTAAAATCTGCATTTACTCAATAATAATGGTGAAAACCCAAAAAAGTTAGAATATGTCTAATTTTATTTACATATTTTAAAATTTAATTTGTTTTTTCACTATTAAAAGTCATATTACTATTATTTAATATGATATTTTCTTGTAGATAATATTATGCTGAATAATTTAAGACTAACTACACTTTTCTAGATGAAATGGTTTGGGAACAATAAGTTTTTAAGTGGAACCTTGCAGTGTTTATAGATTGTCCGCCATTTTCCAAGATGGCGGATTTTGCTACAGTGGGAAAAGTTGGGAATTTTCACAAAATGTTAAGGGAAGCATGCCTAACACATTCCAGTTGGTTTTGCTTTGTTACTAATTTTGCCGAGGTCAGGCCTAGTTTTATGCTACTGGTCTTAGACTAATTATCAATCAGCGACCGAGATTAATCGTAATTACGTCATAAATTAATTTACCGATCAGCTGGCTTTATCAGATGGTTGCAATTGCGCCGATGTAAATCATGCACTGCTACCAACCGAGCCGGTGTAACTCATTCAGTGCTACCAACCGAATCGTTGTGGCACTGGCAGCACTGAATACAATTGGAATATTAACCTGATCTCCATTATGCATGCCTGTTGTAAAGCGTATTATCTGTAATACCTCTCTCAGCTAGTTGCGTTTACTGGTTGGGCACAAGTTCCCTTTAAAACTATTCTGTTTACAAACAAGGTTGAATTATAGGTTTTGTAACGTTCTACATTTCACTGGATCTGTAATACCTCTCTCAGCTAGTTGCGTTTACTGTTTGGGCACAAGTTCCCTTTATGAAACATATGTGCGAGTTAAACTATTCTGTTTACAAACAAGGTTGAATTATAGGTTTTGTAACGTTCTACATTTCACTGGATCTGTAATACCTCTCTCAGCTAGTTGCGTTTACTGTTTGGGCACAAGTTCCCTTTATGAAACATATGTGCGAGTTAAACTATCCTGTTTACAAACAAGGTTGAATTATAGGTTTTGTAACGTTCTACGTTTCACTGGATCTGTAATACCTCTCTCAGCTAGTTACGTTTACTGTTTGGGCACAAGTTCCCTTTATGAAACATATGTGCGAGTTAAACTATTCTGTTTACAAACAAGGTTGAATTATAGGTTTTGTAACGTTCTACATTTCACTGGATCTGTAATACCTCTCTCAGCTAGTTGCGTTTACTGTTTGGGCACAAGTTCCCTTTATGAAACATATGTGCGAGTTAAACTATTCTGTTTACAAACAAGGTTGAATTATAGGTTTTGTAACGTTCTACATTTCACTGGATATAAATAGGAATGTATAGCGATCACTCGATCAGCTGTTTCTATTGTTGCATTTTTGTTTACAATCTGTTTCGCAACGTGTAGAGTTGGTTGTCTCGTTTCCTTATTTACGAGAAATCAAGAAAATACTAGTTCTGCAGACTATACATTTATATCACTGTACTAAAATTAAAAAATAAAGAAAGATATATTTTGGGCTGGCGTTTTATTTTTAGGAGATTTTCCACCGGTAAGAATCTTAATCCGTTTGAAGTGTCACTAAACTAATTGAACCTGTTTAGTTACATTGACGCGATTTCTTTCCTGACATTGAATATAGTGTGTACATTTGCATAAGGATGAACTATGTTACTGACGAATTCGGAATTGAATATAAACCATAAGAAGAATTGCATCGCATGCCATTTGGATGTGTAACTTGTTTCTACTAGGATCATGGAGAAAATGCATTCATGTAGACATAGGTATGCATATTTGAAAGGCGTTGCAAAGAGTCAATAAATAAAAAAAAAATTCTGAAAAATCTTGATTCCAAGTAATGTTGTAAAAAAACTATTAGTTTTTTGTCGTGTATTGTTTCATTCTCAGGGATATATATAAAATCAATAAATTATCGAGTCACATGTAGACCTAGTATTACCCAACTTTTACTCAGTATTCAATCGTTCAAGGAAACTGACAAATCCCAATAGATAAACATGCCCATGAACCACGTCTCGTCGTGCCAAATTGAGAGTTTCCAAATACTGTACATTCGTTTCGCCTCGGTAACAGATCATTACAGGAGTCTACAATTCTACTGTAGGTTTTAACATAAATCTGGTGCTTGGAGACTGTGGGCGCACGACAAATAACTGAAAAGCTGTATTACAACTCGCTTACTTGGGACTAGTTTTTTTAACCTCTCCCCTACAGTAACGCCGAACGCAGCGGCAAGATCTCATCGCCGCGTTCCTTTGTGTTGCGGTGCTCCTCTACTGGCTGTTGCTAGGTCGAGCCGCCACTGCTCGACGCTGCTGCCCCACACGGGCCAGTTTAAAGTCTACAGTACAGCAGAGCAGAGCTGTTCGTATTGAACATAACCTAGTGAAGTGTTGTGCCGTGTTCCGTGCCTGTGCTGTGTGTGTTGTGAAGTGGAATACCGTTTTTGTTATTTTGTTTCTGTGATTTCGGTGTCCACTGGTTGTGCTAAAGGATATACGTGCCCGTTATTTTGGATTATCACGTGTTTTTCTGTTGATGGAGCAGCGCACATTTCGCACACGGAGGTAAAATAAAAATACTATAAATTTACTTATATATTATAACATAATACCTTTACTATAATACAATCAAATCGAACGTTAGTTAGTAGTGCTAACCTATCAATGTAAATTTAAAAAATATCTGAGCTTATCGTTTAAATCCTTAATTTAAATTCGAATAGTACTTAAGCTAAGGCTTGTGCTTTTATAACTCGGATTTTAGTTAGGCCTACCTAACCTAAGTTAGCCTATTTTTAGGAAAAAATCTGGTGTATTTTGGACAGAAGACATGGCCTAATTTATTTATTTTTCTAGTGTGTTTTTCAAAGTTTATGGTTCCAGTAAAATAAACCTGAGATAAAAAGCAAGTTTGTTATGAAATGAAGACGACTAGCTGGCTGCGAATGGCGACAGTTAGTTGATGGGAAGCCATATTGGACCGGGGCAAAGGGAAGCCCCTCTCTTTGAATTTTTGAACCAAAACCAACCTCTCGATAAAGATGTTTAATTGTGAAACAATCACTTAGCACATGCCTATTAATTACGAGTTTTTTACAGTATGGTAAGTTAGTTTATCTTTAGCCTACTAACTTACGCTAAAAGCTGGACCTAAAATTAACTAGCTACGTTTTTGTGATACCAAAACCAAACTCTTATCCAACCGAAACGCAAGACATTCGTTTTTTAAAGAAATATTTATACCAATATTTCAAGTTTTTGTTAAACTAAATATCCGGAGTAATCGTTGTATCCGTACGCCTAAAGTTTATTTAGTTCTTTCCAGGGGGACCCTGGCCTAATATTTAGACCCTGACATGCACTTTTGGTTTATAGTAGTAGGCCTGCATTTAATCTGAACCCCAAAATGAAGCCATATGAGTGATATTGAATGTAGATGGCCATAAAACTCCCCCCCCATCCACAACCACTTCAATAACAACCCAACCCCTCTCAATTAATCCTTCCTTTCCTCTCGTTTGCCATTGGGAGTATTTATCTTTCTAACCCTTCTTCAGTAATTGCAACTCAATTGTTCTAAGTCATCAGGGCCTGTGTAAGTGTGACTCCTATAAGTTAATTAAACTATTGCGATAACAGTGTTTATTAAGCCTAATTTTCATAACTAAGCAATAATTTGCACACATTTACGTGTGCCTTTAAAGACTATCATCAATGATGAACCCAAGTATTCCAACATCTACAACGGATGATGGACGCCAGGCGAAAGGCGGACACTGCATTATCGCAAGCTGATATCATCATTACTCTGATGATAATGTTGATGTCGTAATCACGATGTTATATTCGTCTGACAATGATACCCACGCGTTACATTCCCTTTGTGAAACATCTGTGGTGTTCGCATTGGTAAAACAAACATGCAAGGCTTAATAGGGGTTTTCATATTTGTATGTTCTCGGCCGAAATAACTACACTACAAATTTCGGATTTCGTTACCGTTGATCGAAAAGATCTAGGCTATGTGAACTTTACTACATAGTATGGTATGGTAGTTCCACCCGCATAGAATGAGTTATACAATTCTTTTTTGGCTAGGCTATTTTATTTTTGGCCCTGTTCTAGCTAATTTTTTAACGAAAATTTCCTATCGGAGAGGCTTATTTTAATTCAAGTTTAGGAACTTGTCCTTGATTGATGTTGGAACTAAGTCAGTTTATTTTGATGCAATTTCCCATTGATGGGATCCATAAAAAGAAATCTAAATCAAGTGTGCATATTGCTAACAATGTAGAAATGAAATGCATTTGTGTCTTCTCGTTTTCTCCTAACCAGCCGTACACGATAAATCCAGATGGCCGTGGATCAAATTTAAACAGCTGTTCCAACTCAAACTACCTACAATCAACTCGATATCGACTCAACACCGGCAGCGAGTATGCATTAATCCATTATATTACGCGGCGAGGCGGCAGCAAACTGTTACAAATTACGCCCCATTACGCCTTATTTACGCCGAGAGGGCGACCGGAGTGAGAGAGATAAAAACGGACGAGTCCATTCGCGGCGGATTGATGAGGGGAGGGGAGGGAGAGCCGAGGGGACAGATGTTTCTCTTTATCAGCTGTAGGTGTTAATGACTAGTGATGCATATTCATCACCTGATCGACAAGACTAATCCGCTAATCTCCTACCTACCAAACAGGATACGTGGACTACCTTGTATGGTCGTGATAGACGATTAGATCTGTGATTCGTGATAAGGTAGTGAATAGTGTGATCAGAGATACAGTTGATCTTGCGGCAATGCAATTTAATTAGGGTAGGCCTATGCATTTGTCGCTACGCTTAGGGCATTTGCGGAGGTTGATAGCTTAGTGGTTTAAGTGCTTGGGTACACAACCAAGGTCGCCCGATCTACAATGAAACAGTTTTATTGATCAAGTGATTTCGGAAAACTATACTAATTTACTAATACCATTCTGAACACGATTCATTTGGATTGAAATATGCAGAATTATGTTCTGCTTTGTAATCGTAATCGTAGAACAGTTAATCAGCTTTTAATTAGCATAGCCCAGTTCGTGCTCAATACCAAAACGGAGTTCATCTATTGACGTAACGAAAAAACATGCACAGCTGAGTCTTAATTTAATCCTAATAGGGCATCCATTACCCTATCAAATCGTTCAGGCCATTTTCGAGAAAATCTAATTTTCCGTTATTAAATGGTTCTCATGGGGAAATCGCCATTAAAAATCAAAATAAAAAAAACAATGAAAAAAGGCAAGTGTGTTCTGTAGCTCTGTGTGCTCTACACATCCACACATACAGACATCACTACAAAAACCATTTTTTTAGTTCAGGGGGCCCAAACGTATATAGACGTATATCCACTCAAACTCGTCAATGTTGACGAAAACAATACTTTCTCCATATACTAATGCCCGAAGGAAAATGGGTAAAATCAAGAAGTTAGTCAAAAGGCAAGATCAGTCAGTGATACAGCCTCATCAAAATTAGTTGATTCATGATCATTAAATGCATTTATCCACACGACCACACATCTACTAACCGCAGGCAAAGTAGGGTTTACAGTGCGATATGCTCGGTTGGTCTACTTTAATTGGTACAATCTAATCTAGATCGTGTCGTCCTGTGCTGTAGGCGGATGCTTGAAGTTGTAATTAGCAACTAGACATGTGATGTGTCTTGCTGAGGTAATCGGACCAGCGTGTGCAGTAGGTAATTGAATATAACAACACATGCCTAGCCTACCAGACCTAATGCATTTAATGAGTTGAGAGAGGAGGATATTAATTTTACTTCATTTTAACAGGTCGATCGTATTACATAATATGTTGGAGATTAGCATCTTTCCCCGTGAAGATATGATCAAAAACGTATTTTGATGTTTCAGTGATACGAGCTACAAAAGTCGGCGATTGCAATCATTTTATGGGACGCCGTTTGTTAAATGAAGAGATGTACGAGTTTGGGTGTGACTAATTATCATTTTTATGAGCGATGATTTTTTACAGACGAGTTGTCTCAGGGGCCGGAAATGAGGTCAGAATCTTGAACTCGTCAGATATCGAGTCTATATAATACGGGGCGGCATTCAAATTTTTAATTTAGGTCAGTAAAAGGTGATCCACCATTAAACCGCCATGAACCACACCATTCATGTAAGGTGGCGCATGGACCCTTATCTCCCTTCGGCTACAGACATTACAGTATTCTATAGTCCGTGCCTATGCGCTGACAGCTTTCCTTCAAGAGTTGCAAACACTTGCACCTCCAATACAACAGTTAACTAATTTGTTTTTTCTTTCTCATAATGCCTCCATATACTGTATTCTTTGAAGTTTTCTTACTATATTTCGAGAAATAATTTCATCACAGTGTGAATTTGCTATAAATCAAGGATGTCAAAGTTATTTACCTTTTACTTTCTTAAACTATTAGTACACTAAACCGAGTATCCAGAGTACTGTGCGTCGGTACTCCCTTGATTGTAGTATCGTTCACGAGCTAAAGCTTTTTTTATACTAAAATTTTACTTTGCAATTTATTGAAATTATTTTGATGGACCTCAATGCGATTCACAGGGAAATTCCTTGGTTAATATAGAAAGCAAACAATTATTTAGAAATGAACGATCAGCATCTGACAGCTTTCGGCAAATGAACATAACTTCTTCACATAAAAGATATTATCCTTCAATAGTAAGTTGGATATATTCACACAGCTTAAATTGTGCATTGGTCATTAGTAGGGCCAGCCCAATGATCACATATTGTTTGACCAACCACACCGATCCACAATCTTCAGTCGTTTGATGTAGGCCTATTTTCTAACATGTAAAAATTGACAGTTTACGATGAAAGGCATGTCCTTCTACATCCGCAAAACGTAACTTGAACAGTTTCAATTTATTGGCATCGCATAGTCAGTCAGCCGGGGCGCGACAATTTCCTCACCAATTTCCTTACTAATTGAACGTCAGTGCTTCGGAATGTGACGTTCGATGTAAAAAGTAGACAGGTACAAGTTTTTTATCCAGCGCTGTGAGTTTCTTGGAAGTCTGAGACGCAGGTTTCAGGATAAACACACGCCTTCCTATTGGACATTCTTCTTGGAATGTGTGATTTTCATGGACAGTGAGGGTTTGTAAATGTGAGGCAACAAGGATTACAGTAGATATTTATTGGAAACGTGACAGACAGAAAAACAAAGAACCATTGTTAGGAATGGATGTCTCTTATATGAATGAAACCCCTGATATTTTTCAATGAAGCAGATAGGCCTAATGGATAATACAATTACAACATTTTTATTTAAAAGCTTGGTACGGCGTCTAAGGTTGTGTCAGGTACCATAAGCAATGTCAAATAGGCTCAAATGATAATTTGTTGTTTGATTTTCACTAAGTTCGAATTTAGATGTTTTTTAACAGCAGTGAATGTATGAATTTATTCCAGTTAATAACCAACCGACATGTTAACAATATGTATGGTTAAACGTTCATATTCTCTATGCAAACATATTTTTGATGGATACGT